AATATGTTGTCAGGATTTAATTATTGACTATGTGTATGATTTTTTTTTTATTGAACGAGACAACAACTTTCTTTAAATGATCTTTAAGTCCGCTGAGAAATTAGTTTTTATTACCAATTGTGGGTATCTTTGATGAAAAAATAATAATTTTGAGCCATCTTAATTTTATAGAATTAAACTTGATTGAAAATAAGTATGAGAAAAAAGTAAATTGAGAAAAGTGGTTTTATTTAAATATGTTAATAAAAAAATTAAATATGCAAATTACAATACAAACATGTAAACACTAGCAAAATAGTATTACAATATTAATTTATAAAAATGATTCTGTCAATCCTCATGCAAATGAAAAAAGGTGGGATATATTATTGCATTGTTTGGTTAATTTAAAAAATTTAAAAAAAATGAAAGAAAATGACAGATTCACACCTTTTAGTTTCAATATAAACAAAGGAAAAAGGATTGTTTATGTGGATCGCATCAAAAAACGGTTTCTACATAATTTGAGAAGACAGGAAACGATAAAGAAAAACATGATTTATAATTACATAAAATTAATTTATTTATGTGATATTATTTTCATCAGTGGATTTAGAGGGGGAAATAGGAGTTCCACTCCCCTAGAAATATCATATGCTTGGTAATAAATATAGAATATATATATATATATAGATAAAATAAAAAAAAGTTTTGTCATCAACTTAATTAATTTATTATTAGAAATGCAATTGTTAACATTTGATGAATAAATGTGAAATATTACTTTGATACATGCCTATATATATATATATATATATATCATTAAAAATTTGTTCGAAAAAATAGATTTGATCAAAAAATTTATGAAAAACTTTAATAAGCACATATCAAACAATATTATAAAGTTTCATTAGATTTTATTGCTTGTAAACTTTAACTAATATACTATAACTTTTTGGGTAATTGAACTGATACACTATATTATTTGAAATTATATACAATTAAAAAATTATAAAGAATGTAAAATTAATGAATTGGACTTATTGTGTGTTAAGTTTCTAGATTTGTTCACTTTTGTAGGTTTTTAGGGAAAATGATTTTTATTAAGTCATCATTATTATTATTACTGTCTTTGTTGTTATTATAGTGATTATTATCACCACTATTATTACTGCCGTTATCATCACCATTATCGATAGTAGTGGTGGTTGTGACAACAATGATGACTTGGTGGTAGTAGAGTGATGAATGATAGAACCATTTATAGTAGTGATAAATATTTTGTACTCTTTTAATTTAAGTCAATTATTTTAATTAAATAGTTAAAATTAAGCATTCCCATTCTCAATAAAAAATGACATTTTCATATGATACGCTTATATATATATATATATAAAGCATACTTGCATATATATATATATATATATATAACGATCTAACAGATTCTTATACTTTATCGTTCAGCTACTAGCAAACGACACAACACAACTCTTTATGGTTTTTTTGATTCAACACACAGTACAATTCAACAAGGTTCTCAAATGTTCAATACCTCAACTTAACACTCAACAACCTAACAACAAAACAACGTTTTCAACTTTCAACACAATTGTACAACTTCTCAACTTACAATACATATATGCAACTTATCAGCATCTCAACACAACATATGAACAACACAATACAATCAACACATCACATGCACGAGACAATAACTATGTGCATTGTCACACATTCAGCTAAAAGATCTTTTACAACACATGTAAGCAGTCTAAGTGAGTTAATCCTATTGAACCAATTTAACAATGTGATCTTTTTAGGTTTGTTGGATCAACGACAAATTTTGATATAAATTCATGACACAACATGACTTCTTGAATTTCACCACTTAAACTATGAAATTTTAGTTTTTTTTGTCAAGGTAAAGTAATTTGGGTATGAGTACCACAACTTTAACATGCATAACTAAGTCTCTTATGAGATTAACCTACTAACTGCCCATCCAATACTATGCCTCTTATAGAACCTAGTTAGGGATTTTGGCCCCCAACTTCGTACTTTACTCAGTTTGGTCACTTTGTACATGTGTGACTTAACCTGACTCCCATACAGATCAACATTTGGTTGCTTATAAGCAATATGATTCGACCTAACCCCTGTACTGCAACAACTAAGGTCTTAAAGGAAACTCAACACTCCACTTCAAGAGTCAACTTCTTAAGAAATCTTTTCAATAATTGGACTCGTAAAGCACTACAACACTATATCCTCACAATTGGATATTCAACTTTCAAAACAACTTCTTTTATAGTCTTAAGTCAATCAGTATAACTCAACATCACGCCTTAAACATTCTCAACACCATTACTTTCAACACTACACAACATACAACATTCTTACATTCAACAACTTTCAACAGGTCAAAAATCAATATACATCATATTGGATCAATATATAAAGCATTAGAATCATCCATTAACTCATATTATGTGAGCAATCCAATCTACTAAAACATGTTCAACACTTAATCAATAAAACAACAAGTTTTTCATTGGGCATCTCACGTTCGACACCATTCTACCCACACTTGACATCATTGAGATAGAGAATCTTTGACTTGCCCATGCCCGACGCTAAACTACATGCGCTTGACGTGAATGAGTTAAAGAGTCCCCGTGGTAGTCATGCTCAATGTGGCCAAACCCACACCTAACCTCGTTTAGGCAAAGAGTCTTTACTTGACTCATGCCCAACGTTACTATACTGGTGCCCAACTTCATCCAAGCAAAGTACTTTTGTCTTAATCATGTCTAGCACCATTCAACTAAGGTCCGATGCTACCAGGTTAAAGTACTCTAAGGGTTTCAACGCCTAACACCATTCAACCACACATAATGTGACCAAATCAAAAAGTTCTTCTTGAATTCACGTCTGGTGCAACAATCCTATGCCTAATGTTAGTCAGGCAAAAAGTTTATGGCTTGCACCACACTCAACGCCTTAAAGTTGTGTCAAACGCAATGGTGAATTATGCACTTGGCAAATTCACAATTTGGCTCGGTTTATACCTGAAACTCAGGAAACCAACATGAAATACCATTCATCATAATTACACAACATAAGCATCTTATTTCCAATCAAAATAACCTCATGCAACTCATAAATAGATAAAATCATCACTTTCTTTCAACATAGGCAAGAAAATACAAAAATGCACCATACACAAGTTCCACTTTAAGATTTTATCAATTCAACCACGAATTTAATGAAATCAATCCAAATACAACCCCAAAATTCAACAAGAATTATAACTTTTTTTTTTCACCTCCAAACCACCTAAAATAAAGGTAAAAAGGAAGAAAGAAATCTTTTGTGAGCCAACTTTGCACAAAAAATCACAAGCTCTTTTTTGAATCACAACTATACTACTCTGCTACACTTTGGGAATAATCTGAGCGCTTAAGGAAATGATTAGAAGAAGAAAGAAACTTCTATGCTCTAAAGCGCTTCTCTTTAGACCCCCTCTTTAAATTATTAAGAAATGAACTTATGAAGTTGACTTTTTAAGAAAGACCTCTACACCCTTCTCTCATGGTCAACTTTATCCCTACTCAGAGCAACTTCCCACACAACAAAACTCATTAGAATTTATAATTTCTTAGTAGTTTGTTTGAATGGAAAATTTAAATGGAGTAATTCATTTGTTTGAAGAATTTCAAATTCTTTGAGGTGAAATACCTTGTTTGTATACAAAATTTATAAAGAATTTGAAATTCAAACATTTATGAAATTCCTTGAAATAATAGAATTTCAAATTCTCCCAAAAAAGTAAGAATTTAAAATTTCTTATATTTTTTCTTCTTATTTCACTTATATATTTTATGTCATCTCTTATTTCTCCATGTTTTTAATTATTGAATATTCAAAAAATATTTTAAAATTTATTAAATATTATCCAATATTAATTTTTAAAATTACTAAATATTTAAAAATTAATTAATATTTATTTTTATAAAATCTAATTTAAAAATCTTAAGATGTAAATATATTTTTAAAATCAATTTTATCATGGTGGAATCAAATTATCATATCTAATCTAATAAGTTAAAATCTAAGAAATTCCAAATTGACTTATTCAAACAAAATATTTTAAGAATGATAGAAATTAAAATCAAAGTAATCCAAATACCAAAAATTTAAAATTCATTGAATTTATAAAATTCATCATTCAAACACATCATAAAATTTTACGACAATTAATCAACCCAATCACAACAATATTTAAATTAATAAAAAAACAATTATTAATAAAAATACACACTATTACCATACTCACACACTTACATATATATAATATACAAATATTGTTTTGTTTTATTCATATTTTATATATTTTCATAATAAAGATCGGAAAAACTATCCATAATCACACTTAAATCCTTAAAAAGATTGATAATTAATTTTGATTTTACATATGGGATCGTGTCTTACCCTGATCTAAACTTTTATGTATTAAAAAATACAACTACCGAGTTTCAAATAATATACATATAAATATCATTTATACATCTATATAAATAATATTTGTATATTATTTATTTATGTACAAATATTTTTTTTTACTTATTTTGTATTGCTGATTTTATTTTTATGATATTTTGAAAATAAGTTTCAATTCATTTTTTTAACTATGTTTGTTGGAGTAAAAATAAATTTATTTGCAAATAAATTTATTTAAAGATTTTTTTTTATATATACTTTTTTCTTCATTTTCATTTTCTACCTGATCGAACAAGGGAAAAATCATATATTTTTATTTCTTTATCAAAAAATCATAAAATCATCTCTCTCTCTCTCTTGTTAACTTTTTACTTCTTTCTTTAATAATTTTTATTTTGGAACCAAAGAAAGTGAATATGTCCATAAAAAATATCGGTGCATTAAGCTTAAAAAAATTAAAAAGGGAAAGAAAAAAATACACATGCAGCGGCTTCATTTCCCAATTTCCTCCTCTGTGTCATGTGTCAGGTGTGGGCTCAGTCCTTGGACTTTGGTGCGTCTTGGCATCTACTTTAAGCTTCCTATTCAACACTTGTTGCGAGTGACTGTCACAACCGAGAAAAAACAAGACAACGATGCAACCAACGCTCCCTCTTCCCTCTCCTTGTTACCTTCATCACCCTCATTGGACAAACCAAATCACTTGAACCTCCTCGCTTTTTCACCCACTTTTTCATTCCTCTTTGCCAAACCCAATAATTCAATCTCCCTTTTCACTATCAACCGCAAGTACAAGGGTTTTCTTCCCCTCAACAAGGTTTCTTCTTCGCTCACCCCAATCTTTTATTTTTTTTTGCTATTTCCAATTCTGGGTATGCACTCAACTCTGCAAATTTCATTTTTTTTGTTCCCACAGATATTCTTTTTGGGAGAGACTCCTGTTTGAAGCATTGTGAGATACTAAAAGGGGCACATCTCTCATAAAAATCCAAACTTGATTCGCTATTTTGTGAGAGTATAGCTATTCCGTTGGATTATTAGCAATTTTTTTTTTTGTTGGGTCGGCATGGGGCCTGAACATGGTGATTCGAACATGCTTTCGTTTCTGCCCGATGATGTTTTCGCCATCGTTTCCCGGTTCCTGTCGCCGAGAGACGTGTGCAATTTGTGTCTGTGTTGCAAGAGTTTAAACGCTCTTGTGGCCTCTGAGAAGCTCTGGCTCTCGCAATGTGACGTTTTGGGCATAGTGCCCCATAAGGATCTCGTGGAATGGCGAAAGGGTGTGGCTTCTTACAAAGCGCTTTGTCGTTTCCTGATGAGTGTTCAGCCCTTGATTGGGATATGGGTTCATCAGAATCCCGAGCTTGGGAACGTGGTGTATGCTATGCCTGGTTTTGTTTCTGTTGTTGGTTGCAGGATAATTCCCCAGGAGCTTGGTCCTTTGGGGATTGAAGAGGGTCCCATACTGTGGGCTTCTGTGTTTGAGGTTATTAGTGATTTCGATGGTTCCATGATGTTTTTTCTTCATGGAAGGGATAAGGGGGTTAATTTTGTTTATCCGGGTTCGGTCAGGCCTATAGACAAGTCCTGCAATGTGCTATTGCTCGAGGTTGAGCCTGTGGGATGTAAGAGTGTTAGTGCTTTGTTGCAGAGTAAAAGCTCGCACCACTCTGGCGGCGGGGAGTCGTCAAGGAAGGTTTGTAGGTCGAATAGCGATGTTTCTAGTTCACAAAGGGTGGTTGGAAATGGGGATGGGGTGGTTACCTTTGGGAAGTTAGCGTTTAGTGATAGGAGAAAGTTGCTTGAGGTTACTACTAGCGAAGTTCGAGTAAGGGTTCCGGATAAGATGGTTGGGCCTTTGTTTCCCGGGGTGAGGGATGATGAGGAGACTTTTCAGAAGGATTTGGTGCTCCTGTGGGAAAGGAGAACATTCCTCAGTCAAATGTACAAGCTTGGTGGTGGTCAGATTGATGTTTTTAAGACGAGTTCTCAGGAGGCTGTTGGTCCAGTCCACTTAGAATTGGATGATGTCAGGGCGAGTTTTGGCTTTTCAAGGTCTGTCTCTAATCCTCTGCCTGAGGAGGATCGTAACACTCAATGCATCAAGAGGAGAGGTCTTGGGGGATATGTCTGGAATGGCATTAAACAAATGCTTGGAAGATCAAATTCCATGAATGGCAGTCAACCAGTTTCCAAGAAGATTATCTCAAGCGGCGAGATTAGGCAGGCACGGCTTAAAGAATTTCTTAGATCAAGTGACACAATAAGACTATCGTTAAAAGCTTCGACTGTGAAGCTATCTTCCTATCGAGCATGGCCAAATATGCACGACAGTCGGTTTGCGCTTTACAAGTTGCCATTGCGAGTTCCCAGAGATGACCATGAATATGCTGGTTTATGGGGAGGGACTTTTGGTTGGCCTCCCGGAAAGCCTTCTGAAGACAAGCCTTCAAAGGCCTTATTCTTTCTTCTGCTATCTTATGAGGAGTTCCAGGGACAACAGCTTCTCATTGCAACCAAAATATTGGAAGGCACCCACTATGTCCTTCATCCTAATGGTTCAGCAATGTTTATAGCAAATATCAATGATCCTTCATCTGAACCCTTTCCCTGGGACACTGATGCAGACTCGGTTCCAGTGAATATCAAGCATGTTTTCATGGGGGAGGGTATTGCAAGTGGTTATGGGTTCAGATACCCTGGCTCAAAGCCTGGTTCCCTCTTTGTTTTTGAAAATGGCATTCTTGCCTTCATTTGGAAGGAGTCAAGAGCTGTTTTGACCTTGCATAGACTTAATTTGCAAGAACTTTTGAAGAAGGGTGAAAGGGTACATTGTCTGCCTCCTGTTACTAATTTTTCATATCTGACAAAGTCTTACTCTAACGTGTTTGCTGGGTTACCCAGTTCTTCAAATTGTTTGCCTTCACCAAGGTTTGCCTTTACCCTGACATATCATCTTCTTTTAATTCAAAATTTCCCCTCAATCTTGGAATATCTTCATTATTTCATGGTTTGCTATAACTATTATAGATAGTTAGTTTTTGTGTTGAATTGCTTGATAGATAATTAGATATGATGTTTTTTGGGTGATCACTGTCGACTACTTTAGCTTTAACAACAGTGTATCTGACCATATAGAACCAATTATTATGCATTTGCATGAAGTTATAGATACAGTGAAAGCATAGGCTGATCACTGATGGACAACCAACTCCAATTAATTGTAATTCATAGTTTTCGGTCTTGTCATTTTGGGATTAACAGGAAATTACTATACTTTCCTCTCTCTATTGAGTGTCATTCTCTAAGTTGGCAGATTAAAAATACTAATGTGCACTTAATCTTTTTTATAGTTATATAGGAGGCTAAAATATGCTTTTGGTTTTTTTTTTTTTTTTAATCTTATTATTAAAATTTGTTTTGGTAGTCTTTCTTTTAAAAGATTCATTCTGGTTCTTTAACTTCAAAATTTGACTTAATATTGTCCATTTGAAATTTGATCATTTTCAATTTTGGGACACAATTTGGAACACTTTTTTGACTGATTTAAGATATGAACATTGTTTCATTAAATTCAACTACACAAAAACAATGGAACCCAACTAATGTTCAAACAGAAAAGAACCATAAACATGGTGAAAATTGCAAGAAAAGTGAATCTTGCGGGCAACCAGAAAACCGAAAAATCTAATTTTAGTTTCTTTTTCTAATTACTTGTGGGCTCGCTTTTTACACAATTTTCATCATGTTTATGACTTTTTTGTTTGGTGATTTGGTCATTAATCAAGTTTCATGGTTTTTATGTTGCTGGATCTAATGAAATAAGTTTTACATTTTAAATCATTCAAAAGAGTTAAAAATCACATCTCAAACTCGAAATGATCACTATTTTTGAAGGAACATTAACTCAAATTTCAAAATTAAAGAACCAAAATGAACATAAAGGATCATAGTCTTCTATTGATTTTGAAAAGTGACTCATACTGCAAATTTGTTATATTATATAGTTTTGGCTTCTGGATTTGTGAGAAAATCAGAAATTTATAATAGTTCTGGAAAAATATTAAAATGAGAACTGTTGTTGTTATCAAACAACTGTTAACCATTTTAGTAAGTATCCAGTAAAGATATGGAAATTCTATTATATCTCTTTTTGAAAAACAAATAATTCTGTAAAGAATTCTACCTTAATAGACTCCTTGCCTTAGTTCACTATAGGCATGTATAGATATCCCGCTTTGGTAGGTGTACGAGTGTTATTATGGTTGGTGGATGTAACATTATTGTGCATTTTTTATATATATTATTTTAAGGTGGTGTTGTCTTGATATTTGGCATATATGCAATAATCTTTAGTAGAATAGAGATCAACAGATTACTAAAATTATTTGAGATTGAAAATATCTGTGGGAGCAACATTTTTGGAATCTGATTTTATATGTATCCATCAATAATTCAATATGATCAATCTGGCCAGGAAAGAAGGATGTCCAGAAATAGGACAACAGGGCCAGCATCCACAAACCATTCGATAAATGTTAATGAAAAACATTGTAACATCATTACATGTCATATGCCTCTTTTTTGTTAAATAATTGCCCCAGTTTAGATTTTTGTTTTTGTTATCTCCGTATATAATGCTAGAACATCTGTGGATATATGCAATCAAAATCTTTGGAAGACTAAGCCAGGTTTCTTGCTTCTGTACAGGGATGGATAACACTAGTATATTAGTGGGCTTAGGATGTAGTCCCATATTACTATGATCGACAAAGAAGCTATAAAAGCTTCATCGCTGTTGGTGGTTGTGGGAATTGCATTGCTTGTGGCTGTCTCATGTTATGTTTTCTTGTTGCTACTTCTTGTGAGACCAAAGATGTAGGTAATCTTTGTTAAGTAATGAATTTATGATGAAAATATGAATTACTTTTGTTGTGATTTATCATCTCATGTTCTAAAGGAATATCAGGCTCTTTGTTGTGGCATAATAATATAGGAAGAAAGTATAAATCGAGGATTCTAATAAGCTATGCAAACGGGTTAACATTTTCTGAATATAATAAAAACACATACAGGTTAACATATCCTGTCATACTGTTGTAAAATTTCACCACTCGCATAGTCGCATTTACATGGTACTCGTTTATAAGTTTTAGGAAATGCTGGATTATATGTTGCATTGAAAAGATTCAAACCAGACATAATTTAAAAGAATTTATGAAAAGTACTATAGTTTGTATACGTATAAATCAACTCTTTTTAAGCGCCTTTTTCCGAGATGGGATAGGAGTCTTGGTCATGGTGGCTAGCAAAGCAACGTTACTGGCTCCACCAATATAAAGATAAGCCTCAGTCCAAAATTAGGAGAGGAAAAAAATAGAAAGATAACTCTCTCCAAAAAAAAGAAAAAAACTAGTCTTTGGATGAAAAATTGGAAAGGAGACGCCGAAAGGACAATTGACAACCTTTCACTTTAGTGTGTGTTTGCATTAGAATCGAGACGGAAAAAAAAAATCACGTTTATCTAGAAGTAATAAATAGTAATTTTTACATTAATTTATTTATTTGGACGTGGAGAGAAAAAAAAATTGTATTTAAAAATGAAAATCAAACACACTTACTTTGAAAGCACGCCTTTGGTAAAAAAAAATTGATTGTGTATGTACGCCTACAGCTGCACTGCATCTGCAGCTTCTTTTATTGATAACATGTTAACATGTCATGACAAATTAGCCTCACTCGTGTTTGGGCATTGTTGAATAATTTTTTTATAGGAGAAAAACAAACAAGTTTTTTTTTTTAATTTAAATTAGCTAATTTGTAAATTTTATAACAAATTTCTATTAATTTCTTTAGTTTTTTTTTTTAATTTATGTATATGCTAATTTTAGATTCTAAAATATTTTTTTTTCAAAAATGACTTGCAAAGAAACTTACCTAAATAGACCATCGATCTTTTATTTAAGAAGTTATACTTTAATCAAAAAGTGCTGAAAGTTCATTTTCACCAAATATATGTATGAGCCTCGATCTGAGAAGCCCGTTGGGCCTCGTGTTCTTTGTGATCCTTCTAAACCACTTTAGAGATGTAGCACTTTGGGTTTGTCAGAATGCTATAATTTTCTTCTGGTGGTCTTTAATTAGGTATTCCAATAAATAGCATTGTACCTCCCTTTGTATATTAACGTTTTCTTTCATCCCTTAAAAATGATATAAGAATAAGGCTTAAATATATTTTTAATTTTTATAAATTTTGAGAATCTTATTTTTATTTCTCAAGTCATCAATAATATATATAAAAGTGATACATTAATACAGTTATATATCATCAACTGGAATGCTTAATATGATATTTTTATTAATAAAAACATTAATAAATATATTTTATGTAACAATATTTGATTGATTTTTAAATAAAATTTAAATAAAAGAATTAATTTTTTTTTAAATTATAAGGACTACAAAAGACTAATTTTAAATTTAAAGAATTAGAATAAAATTATCTTATATTTAATACACTAAAAACATATTTAATTCTAAACATAGTTTATAATTTGAACCTATCTGTTGATAATAAAGACGTGCATTATTGTTGACTAGTTTCTAAACTTAGGCTGTCTTTATTTTTTTAGTTTGCTAAAGGTGTTGCTGGGAATAATGTGCATGTGCGCGTTGGATGCACGGATAGTGTGTTACAAAAATATATTTTCATGAAAAATAATTTTAAATTCTCCAGTTAGGATTGTAAAAAAGCTTACATATGCGTATACTTGCTTATAAAGCTGACTACCAGATTGAAAATAGATAATTTAACGTGTATTTATTTATAACTATTAATAAAAAAAAATATTATTTTAATAATCGCATTCATCTTTAATTTTTTTCACTTATTTATACAATAACTTCTTTCTAATAATATATTGTGCACCTATTACAAAGAGACATGAAGTTTACTATATTAATATAATATAAATTTTGTTTTTTCCTACCCGCTTCCCTTAAGGTACATTTGCCATTTAGGATAGAGATTTAGCGGAGATAGTTTATTGTGATAAATAATAATAATGAAATATCTAGTTAAATGAAGTATGAAATATTTGAAAAGTTATAAATAAAACAAAAGGCAAGAAATGTGTTAATGAAAGATAAAATTTAACAAAAGAGTGAGAAATTAAAAGCAATGTATTCAAATATATGAAGGCAAAATATCAAAATTTTAAGGGCATTACTACTAAACTCTTTATAAAAGAAGGGTTTTAATATTGTAATAATATTGTAAGTGATGTGTAGCTAATGTGTATTTATGTGTCATTATTTAAAATTCAAGTCAGTTTTAAGTTTTTATAACTGAAGTTCACATTTTTAATTTTTTTTTCCGTATCTTTCTCGCTTCACTTCCTCACTTCCTAGTTTTCCCCCTTTTTTTCTGTTATCTCTCTCACACACTGGATTTAGTTCCGGGAGTTCAAGCTTTTTATTCTAGTGTAAATATTTTCTCTCTATCTAGAGTGTTTCATTCTTTCACGGGATAATTCACATATTTTTAAATTCATCTCTTCCAAAGTATTTGATTGGAGACAAATAAAGGGAGGAGATGAGAGAAATTTTTATAAACTTTTATTAATTGATTCAACTTTTAGGAAAGAAATGATTTAGAACAAAATCCTTCATCGTCTAATTAAGGGGATTTGGAAGCGAGGGTAGAAATTTAACATTTCGAGGACACATCTACAATGATTCCAACATTGAAACATTGATGCCTCATTTGCCAAGTCCTTATAGAGCAAGTGCCTAAGAAGTGAAAATGACGATTTACTCGAACCCCTTTACCTTCAAATTCCCACCCATTTCAATAATCTATACTTCAAAAATTTACCGAATAAAAAGGGTCTTCTCCATTTTAACCAGGAGCTGTTCAATGGCAGTTCCATAGACAAATTGGTGAAGAAATATTCTACTAATACAGATGCATTATTTAAAGCCTTTGCAAAGGACATGATCAAAATGAGCAACATTAAGACTCTCACAGGAAGCCAGGGACAAATTATAATCAATTGCAAAAAATTCAATTAAAAATGATGCATCAAAAATCAGAAACAAATTGCAATTAAGTAAAAGAAAATAGAAAAACTTACAAGATCAGTCGACAAAAACATATCAAAGAAAAGGATATAGACAATGGGAAAAAAAAATTGGCTGCTTACATGAAGATCGTAAGTTTATTAACTGTAATGCCCCATTCTCAAAATCACAAAAATCCTTAAAAACAAGTGTGGATATGATGAAATAAATAAAATCCAAACAATTACAAATTAAAAAGTGATTTATACATGCAAAATCGTTCATAGCAACATTAAGCATAAACCATAAATACTACATAAAGAAAAACCAAGAAGTGAAGATGAGAGAGATACCGAAAAAAATGAAAAACTGAAATTTGGTTATAAAAATTGAGAAATTGACGTAGATTTTAAATAATGACATATAGATACACATCAGCTATAATACCAAAACTCCTTAATAATTGAAGATATTGTAGAAATTCTCAAATCTTAAATATATATTTATAATTATTTTTTAAGTGAAGGAGTGTATTTGCATGTCCTTAATTCCACTTGAGATAAACAATAGGTACATATAAGGTGAAATTGCTTAAATATCTTTCATTATATATTAAATAAGTTACTTTATTTTTTAATACAAATATATTTTAAAATAATTTTAATTATTTTATTTTCTTTACTTTTTATGTGAGAGTGAGTTATCAAAGTGATCAATTGACAATGGTAAACATTTTTAAATAAGTATTTTCTATTTTTTTCTTCTATTTTTAATTTTTTAATTGTTTTATTTTCTTTACTTATACCAGTGCTAAACATAAATAAATATATTGTATTTTCAATTATTTTATAATTTTATGAGTTAATTATGTTTAGGACAAGTTTACTTTTAATATTAAAATCAAAATTTCTCATTTCTCTTGTTATGAAAATGTGTTAGATGTAGTCATTATCCTTCTCAAAAAATTTCTATTTATATTTCATTTATACAATCAAGGACTACATATGATATATTTTCAGAAAGGAAAAAACTACAAAATGACAAGGTATTTTTTTTTTAAATTCTAAAAGTGAACAATTTTTTTAGGAATTTAAAATAAATTTTAACTTATTTTTATCACACTAATTCAATAAACTAATTTCAAACATACTAGAACTATTAAGGAGTTTACAATACCTACATATTTGACTCAATTAATTGAGCTAGATATCCTTATTATTTTAAAAAAATTAATCAAAATAAATTTTAAAAATTGTATTATAAATAAGTATTTTTAGAAAATAATATTTAATATTTTAATAAAATAGATAGAAAGAATAATTCCTGAAAAAAATTAAAAAATACGGTATCAGAGTTTTGGAGATTGCGAGTATAATTGTACAACATTTTTCATATTCTGTCACTCGTATATCATTTAGCTCACATAATTAGTCAATATATAAATTGTTAATTAACTTTTTATTTTTACTATCTTCGTCGTTGAACAAAAAAATGTTATAAAAAAATTCATAAAATGTGTATCAGTTTTATTTTTATTTTTTATTTGATGTATAGAAAATCATTCATTCAAAAAAATGACGAGGATCAGAGAAGATCACAGAAACAATGTCCGCGATACTCCCTTTCCTGTTGACCTTCCTCGCACTCTCTCAAGCCCAACCGTACTCCGATGATCCACCGCCGCCCTCCTCCACCGTATGCATCGTCGGCGCCGGCATCGGCGGCTCTTCGGTCGCCCATTTCCTCCGCAAATACTCGCCGGACTCCAGTCGCGCCACCAAAATCCGAGTGTTCGAGCGCAACGGCGTCGTAGGGGGCCGCATAGCCACCGTGACGGTGGCGGGCGAGACCTTCGAGGCCGGAGCGTCCATTCTCCATCCGAAGAACCTGCACGCAGTGGATTACACGAAGATTCTGAACCTCAAGGTGAAAGAGCCTGGTTCGGATTCCCTCTCTCTAGGCATTTGGAACGGGAACGACTTCGTTTTCAAAACGATTAAGCTCAGTTGCAATGTTCCCCTCATCGATAAGCTCCTTAAACTTCCGATTACCAATACTCTCGTTTCGCTCGTTAATTCCGCCCTCATGTTCGTGCGCTATGGATTCTCGCTTCTTAAGATGCAAAACTTCGTTGAGGTATTACTACTACGTGACTCAATTAAATAATATATTCATAAAAAATGTAAAAGCTTTTTACACTTTGTTGTTACAAATAACTATTTTGAGAGCATGTTACCTTATAAGAGTTTTTCATATCATATTTATGGGAAAAATATCTTACAAGAGGTTAGCCCCTTAAAAAGGTATATATACATTAAGGATTAATTTTTAACTTTCTGCTAGAGGATATCCTGAGCAATAAAATAAATAAATTAAACTTGTACGGGATTGTACCTTTTACGTGGACATCTAATAACAAATTCACCTGTAATTAAGTAACAATTTAAAATGTTTAGTGTCAATTGTAAGTTAATGAAAATGATGTGAGGTGGTGTGTGTGGGTTTGGGTGAGAGAGAGTAGTGTTATTCGTATAACTGTGTAGTGATCTATTCTGATGAAGTTTTAATTTAGAATACTGTGGAGAAATTCTTGAAGTACTATGAGGGACATGATTCGCGACCTGTTTTTGAGACTGTGGATGAGATGCTGCAATGGGCTGGTCTGTATAATCTTACTACCAGGACTTTGCAAGATGAACTGGTGGATGCTGGGTTGTCTACCTCTTTGATCAATGAACTTGTCACTGTAAGAATTCTTACTATTCTTTCAATTTTTGAATGTAGACCACAAATACACTATTGATGCTTTGGCGATTATGCCGAGTGCATTGATGACACTCGTTTGGTTATCATTTGGTAGCAGCTATTGTTGTCGTGCTTTGGTTTGAAGGGATTGTCTCACCATTACAGAACTACAGAATTGCTTATTGTTTACCGCAATGATGTACATTTGTGAATTTTGTCACAACAATTTTTTTTTTTTTGGTGGGGGTTGTGTGGGTTGAACTTTAAACAACTATTTAATGGTTGAACAATTTGGGCCAACACTTCAAAAGTAAAAGTTGGCAGGTTTTTCAAGGTTTTTTATTAGTGTGTATTGCCTTGTCATTTCCAAGCTAACATTGATGGTTTTATGTGCAAGTATTGTTACTACGAGTATAGAGCAGAAGTTCACACGCCTATAGAATGGATCAATGTCTGAGATTTAAAATAACTCATCAGAAGATGGACTTCTGTTCTGTTTTTATATGCAGGTCATCACACGTGTTAATTATGGCCAGAGTGTCTACATGAGTGGGCTGGCTGGTGCGGTTTCTCTGGCAGGATCAGGTGCAGGATTATGGTCCATCGAAGGAGGCAACTGGCAAATGGCTGCTGGACTTATTAATCAGTCAGTTGTTGCACTACACCTGCATGAAGAAATAAGGTCTGTTGCTGACCTCGGAGATTATTATGAACTCAACTCAACAAAAGGAAAAAGTTACAAATGTGAAGTTGCTGTGGTTGCTACACCATTGGATGAGTTGGATATTCAATTTTTTCCCCCAATTTCAATTCCTGAGAGAAAATTACAGCACACACATACAACTTTTGTCAGGGGCCTTCTAAACCCTGTGAGTATTTTAAGACCTAAAATTGCTAAAATTATGTAGCAAGATTTTATCTTTGTCAGGCTTGTATATCTTCTACGTTACGTTGGTTGGTTTTATATCTAATGAGATGCTTTGCTGTGCCCTATAGGCATATTTTGGTCTCAAGGCTGTGACAAAAATTCCAGATCTTGTGGGCACAATAGAGGATCCTAACATTCCATTTTCAAGCATTTCAGTTCTCAAAAAGCACAATGAAAAAGAATCCTCTTATAAAATATTTTCTCGGCAGCCAATGGCAGACACATTACTGGATAGCATATTCAGGTAATAATATCAGCTGTTAGGTATTTTTTTTCTGTTCCTTGACACTAAAGTTATACTGCTGATTTGTATACCGAAATCTTCTTTAAAAAACCTTCCCTGTTTGGAAAGAGGTCTAGTCCACAATTTGGGAAAACCATTGATTGGTTCACACATCAAACCTAATAATAACAATGTGGATTTTGTTTTCTGATTAATCATTTAGCCCTAAGGTGCAAATTGGATGCATCAGGTTTGGAACCCAATGTTGACATTTACTTGTTGAGCTTTCTATTAAGTGCTGTTCCGTCTCCCTCCTCCCCTCACGAAAAAATGAGAAGAAAAAAAAAATTGAACCAGTTTGTAATTTTTTGTTGATTGGTATCATTGGCAGTGTGAGGAAGGAGACCATTCGGATAAACTGGGCTGCATATCCTCATTACCATGCCCCAGAAGTATTTGCACCATTTATATTGGACAGGCGGCATCTATACTACGTAAATGCATTTGAAAATGCAGCTAGCACCATGGAGACAAGTGCCGTGGCAGCTGAGAATATCGCCCGACTCATACTCTCAAGATATTTTGGCAAAGTAATTGTGCATTCATCTAATATGTCTGCAAGTTCTCAAGGAGAGGGTACTCATTTAGATTTGTGATGGTGTAAGATATTGTTAGTTTGGGTGATGTTAGAAAGATTTAATATAAATTGCGTCTGGAAATTTGGAAAGGCAAATCATACAATGTATAAATACTGGTCAATAAAGAATTACTCTCTCCACTAATAAAGCCAACACAGTTGCCTGCTTATGAAAGAAATGTTGGGAGTGGTAAATCTCAATTTGACATAATGCTTACACATTGAAGGGATTAGCCTCACTGTTGACTGGAGATACCCTCGATGCATACAACATACACAAAAAAAATACTCTCACCCTTTGTATTTTATTATTTTATTAATGGACAGTGTGTGAATGTTAAGATTCCAATATTTTCAAGGAGGATTCCTTCATGTTTGCTAATGTAATATGCAGGGGTTCTTTTCCCATTTGTGGTAATTATATTTTCTACAATCATGTTTTCTATAATCCGGATATCTAAGAATGTTATAAATAAATACATTTGGTGTGCTTAAAAGTTCCCTAGAAATGCTCGACGACGTTTAACTTGTATGCTTAAAATTTCCCACTTTCATGGGGGTCTTGCATTCTTATCCCCACCCAACAGAATGTTTTGTAAACAAATACGGTTAAAATTCGAAAAGGCATTCATGGAAATGTTACGAAATATTTGGTTTAAGATTTTTTATTTTATTTTTACTTTTAGCTAAAAAAAGACAGTTAATTTTTATTTTGTTTTCTATTTTTAAATATTTGTGGAGAAAATAATGAAAATATTTTTATTTATTATTTTCACTGTTTCCTTTTTCCTATCAGGAAGAGAAAAAAAAATCAAACAAAACAAAGGCAATTTAGTACATAAAATCTCAAATCATCTCCGTTATACAAAACCGATTACTGTAGTGATTTTAAAACAATTTTGCAATCAATAACCATTGGTTCAAATATTTATCTAAATCTATAAATCTTTGATAATTTGGCATGATTGAGATATCTCCGACTAGGCTTCTGTTTTGCAACTATAAAGTTAAATCAAATAATGCTAAAATTAAGTTTGGCGAAGCTGACTTTTTCATGTTTGATAATTGATATCATCACTTAATTTAGAGGGTTTGAAAACCACCAAAACCAAACCATATATTCAGTTTTCATTTTCTTTGAAAATTTTGGGATTTTGATTTACTAGGTGCTCAATAAGTCAACTTAGTATGTTGTGCAAGCCGTTAATCCTAAACACAGTGACCTTGTGGCTGATGAATCTTTCCACGAGGAAAAAGAAGGCAGTCGAGAAACGCACAGCCTCATCAACCAGATATTTCGTTTGTTAATATTATCGACTAACATTGAACTATGTTGTGGCGTAAATTGCGTGAAAGTGATTGAAAAGTGGAAGAGGGGGGCGGGGTGCATTTCCTCAGTATATAATTCTCGTTAAAACTGATGTATATTATACATGCAAATCTGTACAAATTAAATGTCACTGCAAAATAGAAAAACCAATCAAACTGCAGTAACTGCACGAATTTTGCAATAGAATTTGTAAGGATACAGGCAGACACAAGGTCAGATTGTAGGCTGTGGTTCGCAAAGCAATTGACATGTTTTGGGTCGCAATGTTCTTCAAGCTGCCAATGGTTCCTCCATAACTGTTTGCATCATCAGAGTCATTGTGGTCAAACTAATTTCTTTTCCTTTTTTTTTTCTATTTTGGGGGGGGGGGGGGGGGGGGGT